AAAATGTACTTCCGCGCCTCTTTTGCCTGTTGACCGGTTTCCAAAGAATACTCTTCCTGAGTCTTGAAGCGCCACTCAAGGGTATAGGGGTCACGAACGAAGAATCGGCTGCCCTTTCCTGCGTTCCTTAACATATCTCGAGATGGTAGACCCTGGGTTTCCACTATGTAACGAAGCTAGGAATATAAAAACGGTTCGGAATGCAGTAACCTTCAAAATAAAGTATCAAAGTTTACCTAACCTCAGACTTTCGCAAGAGCTATGGGTGGAGCAACCAACAAAGCTAGAGTACACTCTCGGAGTCAGGAGGGAAAAATACGGCCACAATAGGCCTTGATGAAAAATATAAACAGGACCAGTGATAACGCCAATCAAATTCTCTTCGTACTCGGGAGATAAAGCACATTTTGTTTATTCAATTTCTATACAGGAAATGCCTTAAGGAAGGATTGATCCGTCGGAAATACAAAACGTGTTTACCGAAGACCGTATTTTCAAGTGATTTCATGAATGCCTAAGTTTTGATACGTCTCCGATGCACCATAAAGCTCAGTAAGGCTTTTATTTAATTACCACCATAAGAACAAGCAGCACAACTCCCAAGTAGATTATAATGAATTGCCGCTTGAAATGCAATTGGAATATTTCCTATTTCAGGCGTGAGATTACGAAATTGTTCGACAACATTTACAATGACACGCGGATAACCTCAACAGATATAAATACAAGAATCAATCTGTATTTAAATTATTTTCGATGCCCGTATTCACAGATTGTAAACCTCAGTAGTCATCGAGTCATGGAAACCACCTAGGAAGCTATTACGATTCTATTTAAGCAGAGGAAAGTCTTGCAAAAAGAGGTCTGCACTTATTGAATGACAGATGTAAAAAGCAATATAATAAAATAGATACTGTCAAGTACCTGGTCATATTCGGAGGAGCCGGGATAGAGAGGCCAACCGAGAAAGAGTTCCGCAATAACACATCCCAATGACCACATATCAATGGCCTCGTTGAATGGCAGTCCCAGGAGGATTTCTGGAGCTCGATAGTAGCGAGACTGTAGGTAGGTGTTCTGTACAGCCTTGGAACTGTAACAAGCGGACCCGAAATCAATAACTTTCACCCGATAGCGCATAATCCCGTCAGCCGGACAGACAAGCATTATATTTTCGGGCTTTAGATCCGCATGAATGAGTCCAAGAGTTTTTAGCTTTGAAAGTGCAGTCAGGACCTGTTGAGCAATGGGACGAATTTCACGAAGTGCTAGGGGCCGGAACTTGTTTGACTTGAGGAACTCGTATAGGTTTTGTTCGAGTAGTTCGAATACGATGCACATGTGGTTTTTGTGCTGAAAACACTCAATGGCGCGAACGATGTTATGTGATTCAGTGTCCTGCTGACTGAGTGTCTGAAGAATCTGGATTTCTACGTTACCCTGACGAAGGTAAGAGGGGTGATTCTTTAAAATTTTAATGGCGACTGATCGATTCGAAGACCGACAAAGGCACTTGACGACTTGGCCAAAGGTTCCTCGGCCCATAAAGGACGTCACTTCGTAGCCTTCGGACATGGAATGCAAGACCTCGCCGACGACTATTGTGTAGTCACCATCACCACCGGTGGGTCGCGCACTACTTTTTGCTACGTTTGAAGTGGCATTGCTTGTCACAGCAGTGGTTTGGGTCTTGGTGTTAGAAACTGCTGCTGAGCATAAACCAGTCGCTGTACTCAATGATTCGGTAGAAACCGCGTTTGTCGGTAAAACCTCAAAATTTGGAGGGGCATAGTCGCAGGTTCCACTGGCCCGCGGCAGGTTAACAAAAGCTGATTGTTGAGGAAACTGGTGGAGTCTGCTACCACTCGAAGATGCTCCAATTTGGGTCATTATATCTTGAGTAAGCAAAGGAGCAGGTTGCAACATTCCCGGCAGGATAGTCGAATTCGATGGGATCGACATAAGAGAATTTTTGGATGCGTATGGTCCAGTCTCATCTGCCTTTCTTTTCTTGCTGTAAGGCCCTTGAGAGGAAGAATTCTGAACAGGAACAGCGACGGCAGATCGAAATTCAGGGGCCTTGATAGAAAGATCACCAACGCCGAAATTGCGTGAAGCGTGAATGTGCTTCGTCATTTTCAACTTGTTTTCCTTATATATGTGTCTGTTGATCTTTTCCCTCGGAATAAATGACCCCGAAAACACATTGGGTGACTCGAAGGCTATACTCTGCGGTTGCCCTTGGGCTAACACGAGCGAACTGGAGGGGATAGGAAGCATTGACGACGTTTTCTAGGGCGTGTCCGATCAAGGTTACCGAGGTTTATCAGATAGTTGGTTGGCGACCCTTGAATACAGATGAAGAAAGAGGGAGTACGTCTTAGATTTTTTCGAAAAAATATTCAGACTTTATGGTTGCATAACAACATTTTAGCTTCTGAGAATTCAGGACCTTACAGGCTCGCCAACAATAGAGAACTAATAACTGTTCTAGTGTCCTGATTGGCATAGCGCGAAGATGTGAAATGACGTACATCTCAATATGGATAGCTATTTACATGTAGTTAGTTAGGAATAAGGCGCAGAACTTAAGTGTCAAAACATTCACACATAAAACTGAAAAAGAGGGCAGATGACAATCGCGGCCATCGGTAAATTAGGATTGGTGTAGCCAGAGCCTCATAAGGAAAAAGCCCAAGTTCAACGAGTAAGTGGGTCAAAATTTCAGGCCCTAGTCCATTAAACTTTAGTTAAGTAATAATTATAAGTCTGATAAAATGCAAATAGAAAGAAGCAAATATGCCGTTGCCCGTTTCTGGTAAAACGTTTTACCACAACACTCTTCGGTTTGAAGACTATCATGAACGATGTATCCGCTGGCAGATAACACCCTGTACTGCAGAACTAACAATACCTATGTCAACTAGGGAAGGCTTAGGCACTACAAACCCTACGCTAGATAAATGAAAGCGATTAATTCAACTAACGTTACATACACAAATAATGCCACGTGAAAACTAGTACTCCGTAAATTTTGATAAGAAAACTAACCAAAACACGGTTTAATTTTCAAAACATTACAGAGCGAGCTTCGTACCATTTAGTTCGTGTCCGACTGTTTAAATTGTAATCACACAAACAGTCCACCGAGCGTCTTTAGCCGGCTGATAATCGGCCTGCAGCTGACTAGGGCGACGGATTTAAACAAGCAAATATTTTTTTATCCGCAGACCGTTTAACCGAATTTAAATCAAAAGACACAGTTAGGTCGCCTGTCAAATTAACGTGGAAATTATTTTTCATTTGTATGAGATTTTAGGGGATCAGGGAGCATACAGGTAGAGGAACGAGTTCGAACATGAACTGTCAGGCTTACTCTGGAAGATGCACAAACATATTAAGGCTACCA